AGATTAAGTTGGGAGAGAATTCATACTGAAGGGAAAGAAAGATTGGAGCAGATATAGGATATTATAAATCGATCAGGTCTGAAAAATCGTGAGCAGGTGGGATGCAGAGTACAAGTGGACATTTTAGCCTTGGACACAAAGGCTGCTGTGGGAAAGATGCGGATAAGTACATCCCCAGTCAGGGAGGAGGCTGTCCTGTCTTGAGAGTAAGAGAAGGTAGGAGAGTTGAAAGAAAATAATGAAATTTGGGACAAATGAAGGGCTAGATACACACAGAATGGGCATTGACAGCCATGTAGGTGTCTCCTGGAGGTGAGAGACCACAAATTCATACGACAGTCACATACGACACTTCCAACACATACTGTTACGTATTACAATCACTTCATAGTTTTTTTTTAGTAGGTTTTTTTTTTTTTAAGCAGTAGGGATTTTTTTTTTAAAGATTTTATTTATTTATTTGAGAGAGAGAGAATGAGAGGGAGGAGGGTCAGAGGGAGAAGCCTGCCAAGCAGGGAGCCCGATGCGGGACTCGATCCTGGGACCCAGGATCATGACCTGAGCCGAAGGCAGTCGCTTAACCAACTGAGCCACCCAGGCGCCCCTTCAGTAGTATTTCTAACAGAGTAATGAAAGGGGCAGGTCGTAGGTTCCATCCAAGGTTAGAAGCCTACGAAGTGGGCAAGTCAGAAGTATGGGCAGATGGCAAGGGAGTGGGACACACTGACGAGAGTGACTGAAGGAGTGATTCGCGGATCTTGGCCAGACAGAGAAGTGAAGCCAAGGGACCGATGGATTGAAAGTAGACAAATCAAGGAACTAAAGATCTTGATAAAGTGGAACAAGGATAGTGTGATTAAAGACTTAGGCCAGGGGTCTTGGAATTGAGGATTTCACAGAAAGGGCAAATTTAGGTTATATCCAAGTCGGGTGTGGCTGTTGAAATGGGTAGCTAAAATGCAGGGGAAATGAAGGTCCTAGAATGGTGATTAGGGTTAGATCAGTGACCCAGGATGGTGCCAAGGTTGGGATGGAGAAAATCATGGACCGGGTTTATGAACTTATTTATCCAACACATATTTCCCAAACACCCACCCACATCACTGGAATGTGATTCCTGCTTGACCCCGGCATCCCAGGCATGGACAAGCTTTACAGATTGGCTGTGTGTGAATTACTACTTTCTTCTTAATGAATAGTAAGGGATAGCAGTTATTAATTGCATGACGCTTTGGGGAAATTTAGAGGTATTTATTCTTTACAGGCAATTAGAAATCCCTGTTTGCTTTTCCTAAACCAGCCTGGCATTCTCTGTGCTCTGCCACTTACTTTTCTAAAAAGCCTGGCTACAAGCAACCTTCTTGGATCCCCTCCCTCTTCGGGAGCTTTGTACTATCACTCGATAATAAACTTTGCTATCGCTCAATAAACCTTGGTTTGCTGCCCACCATAAATACGTAAATAGATAGATTAGATAGCTTGGCTACTTGGACACTACAGATTGTACAAACAGCCTTTAAAAAAAACAAAAAAAAAACAAAACAAACAGCTGCTTTCTGGAACACTGGAAGAATAAGGAGCGCGTAGTGGCAAGAGTTCCAAATGGACACTCTGCTTTTCTCTGGAACTGACCTTCCATCTTGTGTGTTTGCCTCAGTTAGAGGAGCATTTGATTGCTTCAGGAGACTCTGGCACTGATCAGAAATGACCAGCTGTCTCTTGTTTGTCCTAGGTTATCAAGGCTGCCTATAACCAAGTGAAAACAATTGCTCAAGGAAACCTTTCCAATGCAGATGTCCAAGCTGCCAAGTAAGTTACAGTATTAACTGTGTGTTTTGTGTTTCAACTATTTGAAAGTTGTATTTTTTGTTGTAACATATACCCAAAAGGATTGAAAGGTACAGGGGCGCCTGGGTGGCTCAGTCCTTAAGCGTCTGCCTTCAGCTGAGGTCCCAGAGTCCTGGGATCGAGTCCCACATCGGGCTCCCTGCTCGGGGAAGCCTGCTTCTCCCTCTCCCACTCCCCCTGCTTGTGTTCCTGCTCTATCTCTCTTTCTGTCAAATAAATAAATTTTAAAAATCTTTAAAAAAAAACAAACACACCATATTATAACATTTTTAAAAAAAAGGATTGAAAGGTACAGAAAAGTATTTAAAAGGAAAGGGAAACACATCCTGCCACCTAGAGATATAATTGTTAATATCTTGCTTATTTTCTTGACCATTTTATGCATTTTAAACATATTTATTAACTATTATATATATTTATATCCTATTTAATAGCGTGTTTATTGTAGAAATTTGAAAATAAGAAACACACAAAAAAAGTAAAAAATGATCTCTCATTCCTTACCAATGATTCCTCTTTTTTTAACATTATAACGATGTTTCCGTTTATTCAGATTACTAAAAGTGTGTTATAAATAGTATTAACTGGTGTATCAAAATACACTTGTTGGACATTTCCTACAGTTGGAAATTATAAACTATAAAAGCTATCTTCGGTCTTAAAACATTTTTGTATTTCATATTACGTTCTTGGTATAGATTCCCAACTGAGTCAGGAGTTATAATAAATATCACAGAAGTCTGTTCAAATATATGTTTATATTTTTATTTTTATATTTTGAAGTCCCAATGTAAAAAGGTTGTACCAGTTTAGAATCACAGCACCAGTATATGAGAGTGCCTGTTCTGCCATAACCATTGGCCATGTCTTTTTTTCACCTCTTTACTGATGTGATAGACCAAAAAAAGATACACTAGTTCCCCCCCCACCCCCACCCCTTATCCATGGTTACCTGCAGTCAGCCATGGTCTGAAAGCAGATGATCTTCCTCCTTACTGTCGAAGGTCATCAGTAGCTGAACACTATGTCACAGCACGACTGCGTCACTCACCTCACTTCATCTCATCATGTAGGCATTTGATCATCTCACATCATCACAAGAAAGGTGAGTATAGGACACTAAGTTATTTTTAAATGACAGACCATATTCACATAACTTTTATTACAGCATATTGTTACAATTGTTCTATTTTATTAGTAGTTATTGTTAATATCTCACTGTACCTAATTTATAAATTAACTATAGGTATGTTAGGAAAAACATAGTATATATAGGGTTTGGTACTAACCATGGCTTCAGGCATCCAGTGGGGGTCTTGGAAGGTATCCCCCATGGATAAAGGGGGACCACTGTATCTGATTAAAAGATTGAAGTACTTATCTCCTATTTGGCGATTTTTTTAATTCCCACTGTTTTCACTGGGAGTGCCAGCAACACCTCTCACTCAGTAGTTTGGAGAGTCTAACAAAAGAGACACACTTCGGACCGAGCTGGAAATCAGCTTGCGTTTTCATACAGCAGTTTAAAACGCTGAAATTTGACTCCGTCTATTCAGGACAGTTCAAAATGTGAATCGTGAAACTCAACACTGTCTTCCTAATCGTTTAGTATTGCCCACAGAGGAAGTATGACGGGGCAAATTATGACTCAGAAGGGAACAGCTTCCTGGTCATTTCAGATTGTTCCCATTAGCATTATTACTTCTGTTACACTGAACACACTAAAAATTGCCTCTCTTAAATAAGTACAATACAGTTTATTAAATATTATGTACATGGAACCAAGGATTGGTTAATAGGATGCAGTTCTACATGATTGCACCACAAACAAAACATGATGAGAATAAATTGAAACACTGAATTTACTTAAGAAAAATCAGTTTCAAATCTAATTTATTTAAGAAAATATATTTTCTTAAGCGTAGCACAGTTTTTATAAGGTATGGCAACATGTAGAAAATGGAATTTCAGTTATTAATATCAAGATATGCTTGTTTTCTGCCATTTTGATGTAGTTGATACTTTTTCTTGTAAGATTCTTATTAGTCTTCCTGTAGTGAAAGAAAGAAAGCATGGTGTCATTGCTGAAGGGACAAACTAATAATCTCTTGGTAAAGTTTATTGTAGGTAAAAAAAAGTTTTTTAAGTTTTTATTTAAATTCCAGTTAGTTAACATACAGTGTAATATTAGTTTCAGGAATACAATATAGTGAGTCAGCCCTTCCATATATCACCCTGTGCTCATCACAGCAAGTGCCCTCCTTAATCCCCATCACCTGTTTCACCCATCCCCCCACCCACCTCCCCTCTGGTAACCATCCGTTTGTTGCCTAGAGTGAAGAGGTAAAATCTGTAAACTCTTTGGGGCCCCTGAGTGGCTCAGTCAGTTAAGTGTCCACCTCTTGGTTTCGGCTCAGGTCATGATCTCAGGGTCGTGAGATCAAGCCCTGCATTGGGCTCCGTGCTGGGTGTAGAGCCTGCTTGAGACTCCCTCTCTCCTTCTTCTTCTGCCCCCCTCCCTCTCTTGGGGGGAAAAAAAAAAAGAGGTAAATTTTTTTTTTAATTAAACTGACAGTGTGGTAAAATTGCTGCATTAAATTGTGATTATGTGTAAATGGAACTCTTGCTACAGAGTGCCAAACAAGGATAGTTTGAGAGTTAAATTATTCAAGAGAGAATTATGAATTGGATTTTTATTTCAAATTCATGCTTTGTGCCCATATTTAAGCTGCACAGACTGTAAGACCTCTTCTGTCCTGGGAGCCTGGGTGGCTCAGTTAAGTGTCTCTTCAGCTCGGGTCATGCTCCCAGGGTCCTGGGATCGAGTCCCGTATCGGGCTCCGTGCTCAGCGGGGAGCCTGCTTCTCCCTCTGTCTGCCTTCCCCCTGCTTGTGCGCCCTCTCTCTCTCTCTCTCTGACAAATAAATAAGTAAATCTTTAAAAAAAAAAAAAGACCTCTACTGTCCTTCCCCACCTGTCTTCTCAGTCACTCCCCACCCTCATTGAGACCAAGCTCCTTGTAGAAATGGGCCTGGGGGGTTGCTGGTAGATAGAGAATCAGCACACAATATTCCACTAAGTGGACAGTGCCTGAAGACCCCACATAGGTGTTCTGCTTTAATAGAAATGCCTAAAATCATCACCAGAAAAGTATTTGGAGGAAGAGTTACTTCACTAATCAAAACTTCACATTAAAATAGTCTTAAGTTCTAGTCTAAAATCAAAAGGCAGTCTGTTGGGTTTCCAGTATAATCTCATATTGACAGCTTTCTAAATAATCACATAATCACATAATTGATGAACTGAAGACAGAATGGAGGCCTTTAGCCCTGTAAGATTTCCAAAACTGTTCATTTGTGTATTTACCAAAACATGTTTGTGTTTGAAAACATACTTTATTTGGTTTGAGGACATACTTTCAAATTGCCTTGCTCTTATAAAACTGGCTTCTGCCTTAGTTACATACCTTTTACTGGACAGGAACAAGCTGAAAGCTGGCTACCTAATGTCAGTGGAGTCTTCTGAGGGGTTCCTGGATGAAGTCGGGTCCCAGGCGCTGGGTGCGGGATCATACACACCACCAGCCACCGTCCTTCAGCAGATAGACTCCGTTGCTGATGCCGATGTTGTAAACGTGAGTGAATGAAAACTTCTGATTTTACATCAAATAATTTGACCTTAATGATCCCGTCTCAGAAGGAATGCACAAGCTCCCTTGGGCTGTATATGTCCCAATCCTGCGGTTTGGTGGCTGTCTGCCTGATGCGGAGGCGGGAGGGCTCCTTCCCGTCGAGTCTGCAGATGGCTTCCTGGTCAGCTCCGTGTGTGTGTCTTCCTCATTCAGCTAAAGTCCCAGTAGATCAAACCATTTAAAATTCTGAGAGGTGATTTTCATGTGATTCTCCTCCCAAGAAATAAACTCTGTCATGCCAGTCCTGCATGGGATATCCATTCATCTCAGCCCAACACATTCCTCCTTCTATTGCTATTTTTTTTTCACATATATTGTGAGATTCAGCTGTTTTGAGGGCAAGGACGACGTCTTACACCTTTTTGTATTCCCTATTGTACCTAACAAATACATGAACTACAGAATAAATCCAAAATCAGTGGGTTTTCCCAGTTCTTTCTATATTAAAAATGTCGACTCCTCTTGCATCATAGAGGTCTCAGCCGTCTTCTCAACAACAGCTCTACCTTATGTAGGGACAGTGGGGTTAGAAAAAAGAAACAGGTTATTTTATTTTAAAGCAGTAACCTTGACTCGATTTCAGTTGGCCCCTAAGTTCATCATTTTCATACTCTTCCAAATGGCTCTCCTCCTCTTGTATACGACCGTTACGTGAGTCCCGGCCCCAGCTGCCTCTAGCACTGTGTCCCCATGAAAAAGCTGGCTTCAGAGAACATGGGGGCTGCTACTCGTGGCAGTACACCTAAACGACCAGCCTCTGGTCTTCAAATAGTGGCATGAAGAACACAGCGAGAGAAAGTGTGACTTTTAACAGTTGGGGTATTTTTATTGACTCAGACTATTTGCCGTTATAAAACAGAAACTGCAAAGTACTGCCTGGCCTGAGGCCGCCTCTGCCCTATTTTGCAATGTCGGTGAGGTTTTCCCTATCCCCCTTTTTAACAGCTACCCTCAAATCTGGAGCACCACACTTGCTCTGTCACATGTAGGAGGGAACATTCAAAGGAACACCTGAGCTTACTTTCTTACAGCGTCACAAATGAAAATAATGCTCAGTGCTCTCCTGTAGTTAATTTCACAAGAGCTTCTTAGTACAGGGTTGCTGGCTCAGGATGCCCTGTCCCATACGCTCTTGAAACAACAGAGTAAATAAGTTTGTCTGCTGGATAATACATTCTCTTATCTCTGTTAATTTTTTTCTTTTTTTGTTTGTTTACTTAAAGGCTGCAAAGAAGTTTGTTTCTGGCCGGAAGTCAATGGCAGCAAGTGGAAATCTGAGCCATACGCCTTTTGTTGATGAGTTGTAATACTGAAACACATCCTGCAGGGAAGAGCTGAACATGTTCTCAACCCAGAGCGGCAAACCCATGAAAGTCAAATATCTCTAATATAACATTCATCTCTTTTTTTTCAATGAGGTGAAGTGTTTTAACACGTAAATACAGGTAATTATCGCCAGCTGACTGAAAGTCAATAAAACATTCTGTTTAAATGTTTTTCTTGCATCTTTGCAATTGGTTAATCAAGTATTTATTATATGCTGAGGTCTTTTAGATGCTGTAAAGGAGAACAGGAATACAATAATAGAGTCCAGAAGCATCAGAAACTATTAAGATAATTATTGATGGCTTTTAAAGATAAAACCAGTTTAAAAATCTGTCCTTTTGAGTCAGAATAATTCAATAGTCTGGGTTTTACCCCCTTTTCTGTCTTTCTTGCAGTAGAGTTATTTCTGAAAAATTTAAATTCCCTATTAGTCATATCCTGTATTCCCACTGCCTCATTTTATGTCAGATTTATCTTCACTGTATGACAGTTTTGTCTTTTTCCTCATCTCCCTCACCCTCGTCTGTTTTCTGTTCTGTTTCTTAGGGCTGAAAAGGGGGAAAAAATGTTACACGTGAACAACCAGCCAGAAAAATATGTCTCTTATTTATTTTAAGTAGGGCATCTGAAATTTGCAAAACAAGAGAAACTAAGTAAATAAAAATGTGGTACTTACCTTAAAAAGTGAAATTCTCTCTATGTTCATACATTCTGATCCTGGGTTCCTCCACTGCATTTTGTAAAAGATGAGACATTCTTGTCAGAAGGGAGTGTGTTAATGATGTGACTGATGTTGCTTTTTTGAGAATAAGGTGGTGAGGCCTGTCCGGCACCAGGGAAGTGTTCAGATAGTATGTGGAAGAAGGTCTCTGAAGGCATTACCATGCACTTGGGAAAGAATTTTTAAGTCTGCACATATTCCTGTAAGTATAGCAAACCTGTACAGAGCAATGCACAAAAGTTGGGTGTTTTCAGGATAGATGCTTATGTGATCACCAGTGTGCAAACTGCTGCCTAAGCAACTTTTGAGACAGGTTGACCCTTGCACTTTTCAACTTGGGCATAGTCTTCCAGCCAAAATGCATCCGAGGTGGAGGAGGCTGTGGAGGAGGACGAGCTCTCATTGTCATGCTTCACCATTGTCCAGTATGGAGAAGGGGCTCTCACTTCCTTCTTGTGGTCTCTGTGAATCATCACGTCACAGTTAATGTCTTTCCCTACACTGATAGTACGGTTCTTCTTTTTATATCCATGCCACTCTCTAGAGATAGACATTGGTCTCGTTGCAGACTGAGGCCCAGTGGACCCTGGATATTTATAATACTTAAGTTTCTTATCTGAAACTACATCTTCGTTGTCATCACTGCTTGCTAAAGGGTCGTCTTTTGCCTGCTCAGTTTTCTTTGTTGGGCTGAAACGAAAAAAATAGTGAAATAAATGGATTTTTAATTGTCTGAACATTCATTGTCCCCTAACAAGATGTCTTATAAGCCGCTTTGGTTCGTAAAAGAGAGGATATGATTTAGCTTTGGCACTTTGTGTGTTGCTGACGTTTTTCTCTTGAAAAGTACCTTTACGTTTGTTTCCATTCCTAAGTGTAAATAGAATTCTGCCTTAAATTATTTCACGTTGCTTTGTACTGACTTAAGCCAGGCTACCGACCAGAATCTTAGCAGGCCTTAAAGTGTAGGTTAATTTCCCTCCAGAATGACAGGTCAGCCTGGCCATGTCCTCCACAGAGCTCTGTTCTAATGGGTCACATGGGGTCAGCAATAACAGCAGTAACCGGGTATTACTGATTTCCAGCATATTTGAAAACTAGTGGGCCTCTTAAGATCTTCAGCACACTAGTCATCAGGAAATCTTTGAGTCTTTTTTCTCCTGAGCATTATCATTTGCCTCGCTTTTGGGTTTAGAAACATGGATTTATACAATACCCTCTAGGCCCAGATGTGTCTCATTCAGTATTCTACTTCTCCATTGCTGGCCAAATGATTTTTTTTTTTTTTTTTTTAATTTGACAGAGCACAAATGGGGAGCGGCAGGCAGAGGGAGAAGCAGGCTGCCTGCAGAGCAGGGAGCCCGATGTGGGCTCGATCCCAGGACCCTGGGATCACGACCTGAGCCAAAGGCAGTCGCTTAACTGACTGAGCCACCCAGGCACGCTTCTGGCCAAATGCTTTTAAAGATTTTTTTGTAACTTGCCCCCACTATTGGCTCTCTTGAGAGCTTGTTTGGAGGTTCCAGCAGAGGAGCGCAGCTACTCCTACACCCTTGACCAGAGGACAGTTGTCCGCTTTGAGCATGCAGCTCCGGGAGCGATGAGGGAGGAAAGGGACACCTGCCTGGCCAGCCCGGTCACCCTCATATCCCCAACTACTGGCTTTCTTGATTGTTGAAACTTGGGCAGTGCTGGCCTGCTGGCAGCTGCTGGCCTCTTCAGCTTTTCTAAAGCCTGCCGTTCCTGCACCTGCTACTCTCCCGAACAAATGCTGTTCCCTGCTCCCCCTCATCCTGGTATTAGTGATTGTGGACCTCTGGCACATCCGTCCTGCTATGGGGAAATAGGAATTCATTTTCTTCCCCAGCAGCCCCCTCTCCCAACATTTCAGACTTGCTTGTGTTATCACTAATATTCTTGCAGTTCTGACTGTTCTATTTGTTTCCAAGAATTTGAACAGGTTTTCCTAAAGTTTCTCACTTCTGGTAATAAATAATTAGTAATTGAGTCATTTTCACTGAGAACCACTAGTCTTATTAAAATGTGGACTTTCCTTCATCCTTGATTTAGTGCTGTGCTAAGAGATTCAAAAGATCTCAGGATTAGAACACTTTGCCTTCAGACATGCCCAGGATTTCCTGAACAGCTCGTGAATGGGGGGGCGGGGAATCCACGTTATTTTTTTTTTCCAGACTGCAAAGAATATCCTTTGTAACTTGGTATTAGGTAACTTTAAAGAACAGGTACTAGAGCCAGGTTCTTAGTCACAAGCCAGCAGAGGTGAGAGTTGGCAACAGTTTTGGTACCACTGGGCCTGCCCAGAGTATTATATGGAATATTCTCCAGTGTGCACACAGTGCCATTTGCTCCTGAAAAAGGTCATACCAGCTTTCTAAGAAGCCTTTTCTTCCTTTTTGTGCTCCTTCCCTGCCCCTTCCATATAAATTCCCAAAGTGCCTTACATACAAGCATTTTGTTGAGCTAAGGAAGGGATTCAGAAAGTGCTTGCTATTGTTCCTAAGTCCGTGGGCTTTAGCCTCATATTTGAGTTGTGCTATTCTGTTTCTCTTGTCTTTGTTTTTGAATGGTCAGTCTGCCATTCTTAGATTTTCATATCCTGAATCTCAAACTCTGAACAATTAAAATGCTTAGAAACATAATCATTCTGTAAACAAATGATTAAGAACCCAGGCCGCACCCCCCAGTACAGGGTCCACCAGCTGTGTGTGGCTGCTGAGTTTTAACTGATTAAACTTGACGAAAACTTAAAATTCCTCAGTTGCAATTCCTCACATTCCAGGTGCTTAATAGTGGCTACCACACGGGACAGCACAAATAGAGAACATTTACACCACCGCAGTAAGTTCTTTTTGAACATCGCTGCTCTAGAGACAGACCTAGTCACACTTCGCCCTCTGACCTCTGGCAAGTTTACAGACACCTCTCCTGGCTTCCTTTTTCCTATCTGTAATCAGGATAATAAAAAGCACTGGCCTGAGGATTAGGGGTATAACGCTCGGCAAGCAGTGTCCACCGCATAGTAAGCAATGTTACCGTGAATGATTTTTAACTACAGCATGATTGGTTTGGTTAGTGGGGAAAAAACTTGTCCCCTGTCGTGCCTGATCTAAGGGGACAGACAGCTCTACCCAGCTCTAGTCCCACTGTCACCATGTGGGGATGCAGGCCTGTCTTCTGATTTTTCAGGAGAAACCAGAGATGCAGATTCTTTCCATGAAATCTTAGATGTGTAAATTGGGCAACTAATTCAAATATTTTTCACTTAAAAAATTTTGAAATATACAGAAAAATGCAAAAAAAAAAACCAGGCAGTTTAATGAAAAAAAAAGTTATAAACACTTGGGTAGCCACACACACTGGGGTCAAGAAATAAGAGTACTGGCCCCTGGAAAAGCCCCTGGGTATGTTCCTTTCTCTCTACAGGTCATTGCTATTCTGGCCTTTTTTTTTTTTTTTAAGACTTTATTTATTTATTTATTTTTATTATTTGAGAGAGAGAGCACAAGAGGGGTTAGGGTCAGAGGGAGAAGCAGACTCCTTGCTGAGCAGGGACCCTGATGTGGGACTCAATCCCAGACTCCGCGATCATGACCTGAGCCAAAGGCAGTCAACTGCTTAACCAACTGAGCCACCCAGGTGCCCTATTCTGGCTTTTTAAAATGCTGTGGGAGGGGCGCCTGAGTGGCTCAGTCGTTGAGTGTCTGCCTTCGGCTCAGGTCATGATCTCGGGGTCCTGGGGATCGAGCCCCACATCAGGCTCCCTGCTCAGCCGGGAGCCTGCTTCTCCCTCTCCCACTCCCCCCTGCTTGTGTTCCCTCTCTCAGTGTGTCTCTCTCTGTCAAATAAATAAAATCTTTAAAAATAAATAAATAAAATAAAGTGCTATGGGAGACTAGCAAAGTACATCTGTTGGCCATATCAGATAGTCCCTTGGACCACAAGTGGGAATATCTGAAGTAATGTCAATGCAACGTGGGCCCTCTTTTAGGCCTTAGTAAGTCCCCAGCCAGATTTCCTTGAGCCCATCCCAATACACAGCTGTAGCAACTCATGCTTGGAAATCCTGTTGAATTAATAAGGACCGCTCTTGCATCAGAGCACTGAACTTGGTCGTTGAAGGGAAAGGATCTCGTGTTCTACATGTTCTCATGCTCGACTGACCTTCCTCACGGGTGTGACCAGCAGGAGAGTCTCTGGTACTCCTGGGTTACAGATAACCAAACCGTCAGAGATCAGTGATTTGCCTGAGCCTCGAAGCTGGATTTTAATTTTCATTCACTCTGAATAAAGGAAACCACAGGAAAGTCCTGTGGCAGATTTAGCATAACAACAGAGACTTAGTCCTTGCCTTCAGTTTGCATTCTCCCACGGCAACAGAGTAAACAATGGATGATACAGATTACTTCGTTGAAATTAGGAGAAATGTGAAGGAGATACACACACATGTTGCTTTGAAAGCATATGATGGGTGGACCAGACAGTGTTTTTAATGCTTTCTAATTTAGGAAGTCCTCTTGGAAAAAGTCTATGCTGTAAGCCTTCAAGGACGAGTAATGACAGGGTCCTAGGCATGTTGCAGACAGAAGAGCAAGTGCAGAGGCCCCGAGGCAAAGAGAAACAAGGCAAAAAACCTGAAAGCCAAAGTGGACTAGAGAAGAAAAGGGAAAGCAGTATGAGGTAAGGCTGCAGTGGGATACAGACACTAGCCACATGGGGTAGCAGAGACCAATATAAGGGTTTGGGCATTTGTCCCGAGAACAGAAGGTCTGAAAAGATTTTAAACAGGAACATGTCAAAGTCAGATTTGCATTGTAAAAGGGTTGTTCTGTGTAGAGAATGAATAGGGGACAGGAGTAGATGGTAGAGACAACGGTGGCTCTGGGGTGATGGTAGTGGCCAGGGAGAAATGGACAAATGTGAGAGTTGGAAGGTAAAATGACAAGTCTAAGTGATTATTTTGGGCGGAAACAAGGGAAATGGAGAAATCTAGCACGACCCCTAAATTTCAGACTTGTTCAACTAGGCAAGTGTTCCCCCAGTAAGATAGGGCCACTGGGAGATCAGCAGTAAGCTGGCTTTTGATTTTTTGGCATAAGGACTGTGAGGGGTTTGTGATACATCCAGATGGAGCTACCAAGTGGGAGACAAGATCATACAATTTGAAAATCACTCATGTTTGGAGAGTGATAGAAACCACAGGCACCAGTGAGAGATGGCCCAGGAGACTAGAGAAGGAAGCCAAAGAGTCAGCCCGGGGAACGCCAAGGCAGAAGCCTGGGGAAGATGATGTTTCAACGGGAGTGAGGGTGGCAGATGTAGGGCGTCGAACGCTGCCCAGAAGCCAAGCACAATAAAGACTTGAGTCTACCGGAGTCAGGAACGTGAGGGCTGCGGGGGGGCCCTGCCAAGAGGCCTCTTGGCCAGGTGAAGAAAGCAAGGCCTACACAGAGGTGGGAGGCAGAGCACCTGGAAAATCATCTCCTGGGGAAATGGCCCACATCTGCTACAGCTCTTTCTACCCGTTTGGAGTCAAAGGGACAGGACTGTGGCAGGGGGGCAGGCAGAGGGCAGCAGAGTCAAGGTGGGGTTTGGGAAGATGGCAGAGGCCTAAGGCTTACTTGTTGAAAAGGATGCAGAGAGAAGCCGAGTGTGCAGGAGACGAAGGGATGGGACTCACCGCACGTGTTTAAGGCTAACTCTGGACAAGGGGACACATGGCTGGTAGATCTGCAGGCAGAGCTCCCACTGGATGGTTCTTTGTTAGAGCTCCAGGTTCAAGGCTCTCGCCCTTCATCAATCTGCCTCACGTTAGGTCCTGTAGATTGTACTTTTCCAGAAGGATTTAGAACCCACTAAATTATTGTGGTTGTTTTACCAATCCCTCCCACTCTGGTCCAACTGGTCATTCTCCCATGAAACCAAGACCCAGTGCTTCACAGACCCCAAGGTACTAGCATAACAAAAGATTTCCTAAAATCAACTACTTACCATGTTACTGGGAATTTGGTCTCAGGGATTAAATCAGAGATTTCTTGCCATTCTTGGGGTATCTCAATAAAATCTCGGTAAATCTTGATTTGTAGCACTGTTCCTATGGTGATTTGCTGCAAAAGTTTTAAAAATTCTCGAAGAGTATATCCTAACACGTTGGCATGGCCAACACTAATCAGAACATCACCTGAAGAGGGAAAAAATTATCAGTAAATTAAGATAATGGGTCAGTGGGCTCATACCACTTCCGGCTCTACTGAGGTGTTTCATTTTAAGGGTTCATATTGTTGGTTCGTTTCAAACCCAAACCAGGCTTCAGCCTTTATTTAATAAAAGCAGTCATCTCAGTGATGTGAGTGTCCTTTGCATAATGGAGAATGCATGCAAGATGTTTCTTAATAGCAGTGTAATGGTAGATATTATTTCATGTTTTTACTGCATTTCTTTAGTCCTTAGTGTGACAAGAAAAACTATTTATAATCTGAACCATCCTTTAAGATTCTAAAAATGTGTTTGTTTCAAGTAAAATGAATAGCTATTACTATTAAAGAAAAAACCACTTATACTAAGTGAATAAATGACCTAGTTTCTCTTGTACCTGCCTGGCAATTTCCAGTGCCCTCCACTGGTATTAACATCAAGACTTTGATTTTAATTTTCTGCCTTGCACAGTATGAGTTGAACAAATAATTCTGCATGAAAAACACTGGACATTTAGCATCCTTTAATTAAGCTTACAGTGTCTGTTGGTTAAAGGGATTTGACAGCCAGGTTGCCTACTTTAGGGCACTGCTGGACAGGGAGGGAAGCGCGATGGTCAACCATGGAGCTTCTGATCCCCCAGCAAGTGGGAAGAAAACCACATCTTGACCGCAAGCCCCTGGACCCCCAAAGTGGATGTTACAAAGACCAATTACTCATTTGTGCATGGACGTGTAAAGGAGATCCAGCCATGGGGCACACCCACCTGGGTCACTAAACCCGGAGCAGGAGATGCAAAGGGGTGACAGGAGCACCCGGCTGCCAGGGGTAGTTCTACATGGCCCTCTGATCTCTCATCGTTTTCCAAGTCTGGTTCTCCAGCCTTTCTGGCAATTCTGTCAGACTCAGTGTTCTAAGTTCAGTGCCTTAATAGAACGGTTTTCTATTGCTTGCAGTGAAGAATCCTGACTACCACAAGGACACACAGCAAGAGAGGAAGGAATACAAAGAAATTACTTTTTAAGGGCTCACATTGGATAAAGTCTTAGCAGATCTTACTAGAACTAACAGCCTACCAAATGGTAATGGAGATTTTATAGCTAACACTGGATGAAGGGACTCCGGTGAAGTCCCAAAGGGTGTGTTCATCTCTCTGTGCATGGGAAGCTAGGGGCCCCTCAATTACCCTCATTCCAAGACAGCTGAAGCCTAACCTCCAAGAAGAAAAGACTCAGGATGAAGTACCTTCCCTGCTACTACACCCCACTATGCTATAGTTGAGAACTCTGCTAAATCTCAAGGGAAGCCTCCGGGGAATGCCAAGGACAAACTTACATAGTGCTAGATCCTATCAGAAACTTAAGTTTCAAAGTAGTAAACAGAATGAATACTTAGAAGGGTGGAGAAAACCTACTTTGGTCTTAAAAAGTAGCTGAGAGTAATACAACCAGCCAAGGATCTGCAGCTAACTTCAAAATGAAACAAGCTTTTCCCAGCTATGGTGTGCGGTCTGAAATAGCTGTTCATCATATGGAGGTTAATTACAACGGCAAAAAACAAAAACAAATAAATCAACAACAAAAACCCCTCACTGGATGAGCTTACGTGCCTTATGTTAAAAGGAGCGTTTATAGCTAAAAGCTAAGGCTTGGCATTCTGCTTAATTACATTGTTAAAGAGTGTTGTTTTTTTTTATCAAGAGGGCAGAAAACAGCTTAATTCCCTGACCATCCTGGCTATAAACCAAACCTGTCATTGTATGAATGTGATTACTCTAGCAATAGATATAAACATCGCCCTTCATAAAGAAATACCAAGCTGGTATTTATGAATACCAACCTCATTACACATTTTTTTTCAGTTTTAATGGGCTGTAGGAACCACTGGCCAAAAGGAATTTAAAGTTCAGCCAGAATAAACTTAACACTAAACTAAACTAGGAAATCAAGATGAAACCCTATTTTGAAACACCAGAAGAGAAAAATATGAAGCATGTGGATAAGAAATAATGGGGCTGGGAGATAATGGGGTCAAAGAAATAGGCTTGGGGGACTGTCACCTCTGAAATTCTCAATCATTGTCAAAAGCACTGAATTCCGGTCTCTCAAACCAAGATCCTGAAGGGAAGTGACTGACCTGTCATGAAGAGATCTGGGACTCTGGACTCTCTCTGATACTGAAATCCCATTTCCAGTCAAAGGTGTGGGCTTTCTCGGGGCCATGGGCTGGAGTCCCAGCCCTGTCCACCCACTTAGCTCTGTGTATTGGCCTAGTTCCTTCCTCTCCCCAACCCTCTTATCTTGAAGTGAAGTCCCAAAGGGTGTGTTCATCTCTCTGTGCATGGGAAGCTAGGGTCCCCTCAATTTCCCTGATTCCAAGACAGCTGAAGCCTAACCTCCAAGAGGAAAAGACTCAGGATGAACTACCTGCTTCTTGCATTACCCACCTTCCAGGCGTGGTGCAAAGATTAAATGAGATCATAGATGTAGAAACTCCTTGCACGATGGCTATGACAAATATTTATTATTCACTTTTTAAGCACAGACATAACAAATGCACGAGCACTGTAGGTAAGTCCTGGATTTAAAAAATGAATTCAAGACTGCCTCTGACCTCAGGGAGCCCACTGACCATGAGGTCCTGCTTCCCGTGCATAAAAGCACACTCCGGTCGCACTCCAACAACCAGCAGCTGTCCCCTGACCCCGGAGAAGCTAAGAACATGCAGAAAAGCTCACGCGACCTGTCCTGGACTTCTTCTGGTCTGGAAGGTCCAGACCTCTCCTTCTGGCACTCTGTGCCACAGCACCAAGTAGTGACATTTGGGGAAGATGTTTTGGATTTTAAGGGGAGGTAAACGTTCACAATGACATCATTTATCTATTTTATTTAATCCACTGCTTCTAACCCGAGCTGCACTTAGAATCAATCACCTGAGGAGCTTTGAAACCATGAACTACCCGACCCCCAGCCCCAGATCAATTGAATCAGAACCTTTGGGGGGATGGGGCCTAGGCAGCTCAGTTTTATAAGTTCCCCAGGTGATTCTAATAGATAACAAGAGTTACAAACCGGTGGCTTAACCCACTGGGGCTCCTCTACCACAATCATTTTTTATTAAAAACAACAACAAACAAACAAACAAGAAAACCCAAGTCTGGAAACTCTTAAGAACAGCCTAAGAGAAATGATTGCCTGTATTCCCACTGAACTGTCGTTTTCAAAGCACTTTCATAAACATGACCTCTCCGAATCCTAGCTACCTCTGACGAAGGTGGTATTATCCCAAATCAGAGATGAGGGGACCTACACCTGGAAGGTCAGATGACTCTGCCCAAGGTCACAGAACTACAAAGTGGCAGAGCCTGGGCCGGAATTCAGGCCCGGCTAAAACCGGATGGCTCTTCCCTCTCACCACCCTTGCAGTCCATCGTGTCTCCCTGGCTCCCAAGCACAGCCTTAGAACCGGAGCAGACACTGGAAAACATGTCTTGAATTGGATGGAAAATTCATTCACCCCAAGACAAGAGAAGCAGGGCGGTGTTGATAAAGCCCTTGGGCTCGGAAGTCTAACAGGGTTCAAGCCCCTGATCCCTGGTAGGCAAGTTGCTAAATATCTGATTCCTTCTCTGGAAGGTTGTTTAATGCAGAATCAACCTCAGGGATTGTCAGGAGAGTGAAATGAGATCATGCATCGAAATGTTAATGATGATTCATACTGCCTACGCAAGAAGAAGGGTTTATCCACTGAGAGCCATAAACTCTGGAGTGACACCGTGCCTGTGTGTGTATCCCATGTGCCAGGTGGGGGTGAACCTCAGCAAGGAACTCAAGCTCACGGAGCCTCAGTTTCGTCCCCTGTGAAAGGGGGATGACAACGGCTCCTACCTAGAGACTTATGATCAGAATTCAACGAATAAAAACGCACAACAGCGAGGGTTGGTAAAGTGATAGCAAGTGGCTGGCACACAGAAATCGGCTCTCAGGCAATGTCATCATCGTTATTATGGTTACGCTAAAACCTGCTAACTGGAGTCTCCCCGGAGGCAGACAGGAGGGAGGCATGGGGAGACCACACTCACCTGGCTTGAGTTTTCCATCCCTGGCCGCAGCCCCCTTCCTGATGAGGTGGGTGATCTGAAGGTAGGGCCCATTCTGGATGATGATCAGGCCTAGGCCCAGGTTCCCCACAGTGAGTTTGGTCTGCTGAGTTTTGCTCAAGTTATGCACAGATGACTTGATGTTGAAGTCGATTTGTTTGTCTAATAAAAAGAGGGAGACATTTTTTCAGTCTGTCACCTAGACAGCAACATGTAGTACCACTGGGGTCCTAAAGCCAGACCCCCAGGGCAGTTTCTTAACCTTTCTATTCCTCAGTTTCCCTCTCAGTAAAGTGAGGACAGTAAGCTTAGAGGCTTGTTAGGAGTATAAACTAGACAGGTAAAGGGCTTTGCACAGGGCCTGGCACTTGCTGAGTGCCTAATTAATGTCAGTTATCATCTATCCACTTGACAAATCTTTTCTGAGGCAGGCAGTGTGCTAGGAAATAACAGTTCCTTGCCCTTATGGATCTTCCAGCTTAGTGGAAGAGACGGATATCCATCGGTCATGTAAATGTATGTTGAATAACAAACGATAACACATGCTATGAAGGAAAAGTAGAGAGAGCTCTGAGGGGGACTGACAGGAGGCCAAGGTATCCCATGGGGAAGGTGGTTCAGGCTTCATATAGGAGGTAACATTTGGATTGAGGTCAAAAAGACCAACAGAAAATATTTAGACCAAGGAAGGTGGGAGGGAGCAAAGCGGATCAAGGTTCTGAGACAGGAAAGAATGGAGAGGAAGGGGCAGGCAGGAGGAGCAAAGGTAGAGCCCACCTGGGCTGCTTCACAGGCTTAGCTCACTGCAAGACCTGAGGAGCCACTGGAACAGGACACAGTAAGATTTGCATTTTTCTTAAGACAAAACCAAACCATGGATTGTGGGGTCCAGAGTGGAAGTGGGAAATCGAAGTGTTACTGTAATCACCCAAGCATGCCATGGCAATGACAGTGGAGATAGCAGGAAAAGATCATTTGGCAGGAAAATCTGGGACAATGGGTGGTGGGGGAGGGGTGTCGAAATACAGAACTACAGAACTAACTTTCACAAGAAAAGTTTCAGACTGTGGAGTGATTTAGAACAAGTTATTCTCCCAAGAGGAAACTTCTGAGAAGACTCATTTTCAGTCCACAGGAAGCTTCTGGGGACATTCGTTTTCAGCACACTTTTCCTTAAGGACAAGGGACAAAAGGCTACTTGATGAGCCTTTGCCAAATCCATGGGACTGTGGTGTTTTGAGGGCCCAGTCCCTCTGCGGCGGCTGGCCAGGTTCCTGGCCCTTCCCTCTTCTATGCAAGTGTTCTTGCTCATCTCCAGCCTCACCTTCCCTCAAACCACAGATGCTCTCTAGAAAATAAATAAAGGAACCCAGTATAAAGAAGGTACCACATTCGGAAATTGTTCAGGATTATAGGAGCGATTTGGAGCAGGCCGTACCCCTCCTTCAGCCTCCAGTTCCCAGCAAGTGGCATCTTAGGCAGGCTCTGAGTCCCAACCTCAGCTTGCAAATTACACGTGCTTAGGATAAAATAATCTATGCAGCCCAGTCTCCGAAGACAGCAGAAGGCAGACTCAAAAGACTCCGCCCCTGATGATTCCACCTTCTCCATGGAAAGGACAAAACTACAGGAGATAGATCGGGAGTGCCAGGCCCCCAAGTGCGGGCTGGCGGCAAAGGGGCAGCGCAAAGCCCCGGGGCGGGGGGGAGGGGGGGTTGAATTTCTCCACATCTTGATGGTGGTGGTTAAACCTGGGTCATCGTTTGTCAAACCTCAGAGCTATACACTAACAATGGGGGGCTCTTATTGTATGTAAAGCATAGTTTAGTAAACAAATGATGGGGAGAGGCTACCTCCCAGACCAAGAGTCTGACGTTCTCATCTTACAGGGGAGGCAAAGTGATGAAGGCTTTGTCCCCAGGGCGTCGCCCTCTCCCCACTCCCCAGTTACCTTTTTTGCTTTTTAGGACGGCCTTCTTCATGGCCCCAGGAGGGCAGGCCGCTCAGAGGGCCTCCCAGAGCCGAAGCTGGAGTGGGTCCAACTCCCAACTGTTTCGAACCCGCGAGGAGCCGGCGCACTGCGGGGCCGACGGCGGGCGACGGGGCGGACCCCCGGGCGGCGAGGAGACCTCGGGCGCTGCTCCTCGGGATGGCCGCCAGGGGGCAGAAGTTGGACAACCGTGGCGGTTGCAAGGCCTCCGTGGACCACGGAAAGTGGTGTGAGTGGAAATTTGGGGGGAGAAAAACAAAACTGTGCGGGCGGGGGGGTTGGTAGCACAATGCCTGGCTCACAGTGGGTTCATCATCCATTCTTGGAAAACAACTGAAGTGGGGAGGATGGAACAAACACAGAGGAGGGTGTGGCAAAGACATGAATCGGTCTGCAGAGGCTCGAAGACCGTAGAAGAGCGCAGAAGCCCCTTGCTTCTCTCCCAGTAACGGTATTTTTAGATATTGTTGCATCAACAGCCCCAACTGTTTTGGAACTGCACTGTTTTCATGGATGTTTTGAATGAGGAAAGGCCAAGGGTGGCTCGAAAAAAATGAGTCACAATTAGGGGAGGAATTAATTCTTCCTTCTTTTTTCCAAAATAATCTTTCCTCCCCCACACACATTCACTCATAGGACAAATATTTACTGGAAGCCCGCTCTGTGGTTTGTACTGAGGCTGGGGACACAACAGTAGGCAAGACAAACAAGGGTCCTATCCTTTTGGAACTCGGATTTAAAAAGCAGATGAGGGCGCCTGGGTGGCTCAGTTGGTTGAGCGACTGCCTTCGGCTCAGGTCATGATCCTGGAGTCCCGGAATCGAGTCCCGCATCCGGCTCCCTGCTTGGCAGGGAGTCTGCTTCTCCCTCTGACCCTCCTCCCTCTCATGCTCTCTGTCTCTCATTCTCTCTCTCGCAAATAAATAAAAAAATCTTAAAAAAAAAAAAAGCAGATGAAGTGGACAATTTTAGGAAACTATAAATTAGCAAAAATATATTCTAGAAGAAATAGAAAACAATGTGATGAGGTAGGACCTGTTGTCATCCCAACTCTGATGACACTCAGAGGGTAAGCACCTTGCATCCATGCTTTCAACAAATAGTTATCAGGCACTTATTAGGTGTCAGGCACTGTGCAGAGATGTCCACAGTCAACCTGGGCAGGTTCTGGTTTAGTTAGCCATTTCTGTGGCCCTACCTAGACAATAAACCAGGGTAGATTTTCGTTGGATAAATCCTGTCTTGCAGAAACTGAGACAAAGGGAAATGAACAGAGCCGTCCATTTTGGCGCTCTCCACCTCAAGAAGTCTCCAGCAGGTGGCTTCTCATGATCAATCACCAATTTCCTCCTCCAAACTGTCTGGCAAGGTGTCTGTCCAGACACCAAATTAATTCCTTCCTAAAATGCATCCTTTTCCTCCATGTTCCTATGAGTAGGGGGAGTGGTGAGAGTTTGTGGGGCTCAAGCACGTCAGCATCGGAGGTTTGGTGAGGGGAGCATATCAGCACCTGGCACGCAGGGGGTCTCTCTGCCTTCCCTCCATCCCAGGCTAGAAACTCTCTTTAGGGCAGGTGTCAGGATCACACCGATGGGTGGAACTGTGGGATACAAATGGTCATGGCTGCAGTCCTGTGCTTCCCAGACCTCCCTTCAGGACTGAAGGCTTTCTTCCTGCCCCTCTACCCCACCCCTGCTTCTGGGTGAGCTCCTTGCCCAAGATCACACCTTCCCAGGTCAGCTAGCATCCAGTGACCAGTCACCGTCAGGTAAAAACCTGGCTCCCTCAGTCCAGCCCAAGCAACTCTGGAGGGCAATCCCAGCTCCAGAGCTCCTGTGGGTCCCCTGGGATCCTTCTGTGGCTTTGCTGCCACCTGAGTTCTCCCTTTGCCAGGTGCTGCTTCCCCTTTTTCCCCCTCACAGGTGTGGGTCCCAAGGGCACTCCCCAGGAAACTCCCCGCAACTCAACAGTGTTTCCTAGAGAACACACCCAACCTGCTGCAGCTAGTGCCAGGGATGGTCTCAAAGAGTAGATGCTCAGATGGGATTTGGGAGCTGGATGACCCTGCTGTCCAGTTAATAATGAGGGTTCCATCCCCAGTAGAGGAGGGGTGTCCATAGCCTGAGGCGCAGGGAAACACTAAGGCTGTTCAATTTTTCACCATTGTAAAATGGAATGGTTTGGCACCCACATGATCTGCCTGCCATATCTCTTAGTACTCCTTTGCCTTATTTTGACAGTAAATGGACAAAGTAGCCACAGCCTGAGAAATACATAGCAACCAGTGGCTCAAACTCCTTAGGGATGGAGGTCTGAGCCACCTCACCATATACGCCACCTAGCCCACAGCGGTGCTAGCAGAAGGTGAGAGGAATCTAGGATGGCAGAAGAGGAGGGAAGGGTTTCGTGTGTCACTTATGCCTCGAGATGAGCTACAGCAACGGTGGGAGCTGTAGTTTGTCCTGCTAACCTTCCTCTTAAAAGATTCCCACAGAAATACATCCCCACCAGGGTCCCGCTCTCAGAACTGAAAAGAAGCAGGTGGATCTGCATAGCACAGTGGGTGCACTGTGGCAAATGTTGCCTTGGGCTTCCTGGTCCCCCTGAAGACTGAAGGACCCAGTCCCCAGCTACTGGGAAGGTGGGAGGTTGACAGATCTCAGCTGTCAGCCCTCTCAAGGAATTGTCCTTGGCTGAAGAGCAGCCTCACCCAAGGTCATGCCCCATTCCTGGGGTAGCTAGCATCCGATGACTAGTCCATGCAGGGATACAAAGGCTTGGCCCCTTTTCCCCAACTCGGACCAGCCATCCCAGCTTCAGAGTTCCCCACGGGGTCTGCCAAAGCCTCCAATGACTGCACCACTGCAAACTGCTCCCTCAGCCTTCCCTGCTGCCTCCCCACCCCCGCCCCCTGCTCCTGAGCAGCACTCCCTCCTAAACTCCCTGCTCACTAATCGCTAATCGATACTCTCTTGTCTCTGAGTCAGCTCCAGTGGAACCCAATCCGTGAGAGGAAAGGAGATTTGAGCCCAGAGCACAAACAAACTCTGGATTTAGCTTTTTTTTTTAAGCATTTTATTTATTTATTTTTAAAGATTTTATTTATTTATTTGA